ATGGCGAGGCCGTCAAATTCTGTACTACGCTGCTGGGAACAGTTGAGTCACCGAGACTAGGTTGACTGCCATCAAGGGATAGGAGTCAACTATATGCCAGGAAAATGGTGAAAGAAGGACTAAACAGATAGCTTCCTAACAAACCTGCTTCCGCTTAGAAGCATGCTCCAACAAGCGAAAATTTCTTAGCTAGTTTCTCTGACATGCAACGAATGCGGCCCAACGAACAATGGTAAGTAAGATTAGTTACGTGATTTAATTGTGCTGTCTTGTTGAGTCTGTAAAAGATAGAACAAAATCAACAAGTACTAGTAACTAAATTCAGGTTGTTTTGTCGTTTTTTATGCGACTATCCAATCATCTAATGAGCCCAACTGCCTAACTCACCTGACATATCCGTTTTAGAGTAAAGCATACTCCATTGTTATCAGGGAAATGACTAGAACGGGCGAAACTAAGGCTACACATCACCTTTTTGCCACGTCAGGGGAGAAGGAGCTACTCACCGGTCCGAAGGACAATAAAAGTAGAATAGGTTCCGAGGAATGCTGTGAGGCTGCTGTCAAAAGAAAGAGAAACGTTAAGAGTCCAACTCAAGACAGTGGCAGCTGTAGACAAATTCCAGAACAAATGATCGAAAGGGAAAGGAGCTTACAACAACTTTTGATTGCAGACCTCCATGAGTAGCCTGCGTGAACTTTTTCAAAGACGTGGTGAAAGTGAGCCACAAATACTGCGATAAGAACTATCAGCACGAAGTCGAGATAGTAAAGACAAAGTCTGTTAAGTTCATCAGCAGGGAGATCAAGGCCCGCAGTTAACTAGTGTGGCACGTACATACTGCAAAAAAGCCGGCGCTGGCAAGACAACGTGACCAACAGGATTTAAGTTCGCGTTTCAGATGGAAAAGGATGCAGCCGCGTAAAATTAGCTCCTCGACACAAGGCGCAACAACAACGGCTCGTAGCTACCGCCAGTCCAGAGTCTAATAACATTCGCGCAGCCAATCTGAAGGTATCAGAAGAAGCGTTAAGCTTCGAGATTTAACAGAAATTAAGTGGAAAGAGATGGACGTCGAGTACTTACCATGGACCCGATAATAAGACCTTGCATGATATTCACTGAAAAGAGGCACCACAAACAAAAGCTGAATGCCAGTTACTTGAATGCATGGACAAAACTAACCAGCGTAACTGCGGACGGGAAAAACAAAGCCGCTCCCAACCGTTCGAACTTTGAATGAACTCAAGAGGGATCTAATAGACTGGAAGGCAGCTAAAATGGCGAACTACGATTATTTTTTACAAAAACGGGACAAACCCCTTTCGCGTTGGACCGCTGAACAAAAGTGAGCGTGTCCAAGAGAATGACCAAGCAAGAAAATGAGGCGGAAAAGATCCGGCGCCGGACGTTCTGCAGATCTTGCCTGATAGGAGGACAGTTAGAATAAACATTCATGATGGGTCAAATTTGCAACGGTTTTTGATGGATAGCTCTTGGAGTCTGCCACAACAGGAAAGGGTGTCCCCCAAGTACATGAACTAAGGCACAGCGAAAGCATAGGTATTTAACTGCTACCCAGCCCATGGATCTTGCGTTCTTGACAGACCAATGCGATGTGGTTGTTAGCATCGAAAAGACAGTGATATGAAGACAAAGAATTAGCCGTAACCGACCACATGCCAAAGACAATACTAGAGGAGCATGTACTCAAAACACAAATTATGTCCTATATGTTCGACCAAGGCTTTCCAAATTAAGAAGATGAATCGCTAAAAAAAACTTCAAGCCCATCGTTCACAGCTGAAAATGACAATCTTCTTGACCAAACAGCCAGTCTACGAGATTACATTTGCGAAAAAGTGCTTAAGGGACTCAGGCTCCTATGAGTGTTCCTGAAATATGGTCAAAAGCACCTCGCTGCCAGTTTTGCTACTGCCTATTCGGTGCTCATAATTTGCAGCCCTTTCCTCCAAAAATCAGAAAGTGAACTAAGGACGCTTTGACAATTGTCAAAACGTCTGGAGCTTACTCTCAAAAACGCCGACATTAAACAACATAATGGTGGCGAATTGTATAAGCTTAGAACGATAAAAATGTAGTGGGGAAAAGACCAAACATACCTGTTGACTTCTCCATACAAGCATAGTGTTGATATAAATAAAATAAAATACAATATGAGGCGCAACGAAAATATGGGTGGGTAACAGGTTCTGTAGAGTACCCGAATGGCATTTTTCTTCACAATGACCCTAGA